CCACCACCTGCCAGAGATGGCCACTTTCTGATCGGGACTGGCACGGGTTCAGCAGGCAGCTGGTATAGGATCCACCGAGCTGGAGGTTCTCCATTCCATGTGTAATTCTTTCCTGTGTGTCAATCAAAGCACTCCCTTTCCCAGAATGCATTTGCTCCATTCAGGACCTGGAGGAAGACACCTTGGAAATATGGAAATTAAGCTCTACACGGAACTTTTTATGGCGGGATCACAAAACACACAGCGTATTTATGCCTGTGAAGACACCAACCCTCTGACCTCATAAAAGAGGCCAACAACTGGGGGCGCTCTCTTCCACTGGAGACCAGGTCTGTAGGGCGTGGTGGGGTGCTCCCCTGCTCCCCTTCCTCCTCTCCTTGCTTCTGGGCCCGCTGCCTGTTCATGCTGAGTATCTCTCTATAGGGCAATCCTGCCCACATGTGTGTGTGTCTATATTCATTTTCTCGCTGCTCAAGTGCAGTTACTTTCTGTATGTCAGCACCCAGCTCCTAGCTTTGTGCATGACAAGAGCCTGGAATAGAGATCCACGCAGCCTCCTTCTCCTCACCAGGGCCGACTTTCTCTGCCTGCTGGGCTGAACCAGTGTGGCAATGATGGCCACGGGCCACGCACCACACCTACCAACAGATGATTTTTTTTCCTGGGCTGCGGCCCCGGACAGGAGAGGGGAATGGCAGCTGGGCGGCTGGGTCATCTGCGTGAGGGCAAGGACTGCAGCAGCAGCAGCTTCCTGCCTGGGAAGGACACGTGTCTGCCAGTCCTGTGGACACTTAGGAGGTGCACGGCTGGTGCAGTGGTTAAGGCCCTGCTTGGGAAGCCTGCATCAGATTTCTTGGGTTTGAGTACCAGCTTCTTTCTGCTTTGGATCTGGCTTCCTACTGGAACGCGCTCTAAGCAGGTGATGGCTCAGGTGACCTGTGCACCTGTCACCATGTGGGAGACCTCGATTAAGTCTTTGGCTTCTGGCTTTGGTCTGGTCCAGCTGTGGCTGTTGCAAGTATTTGGGAAGTAACCCAGCAAAATGGAATAATATTTTTTTCCATTCAAAGAATGAAAAATAATTGTAAATGCAGAGTGGATGGAGCTCATGTGCCAATCAAGCTTATGCCCAACATGTGGCAATAGGCACCCACTTGCTATATGAATGGGCAGGACACAAAGTCCCCGGATGTGAGGAAGCCATGATCTGAGGGATGACAAGGAAGATGCCGAGATTAAGGACACAATCAATACTATTGGATCTAAGTGAAGCAATGGGGCTTGTTAACTGAGGGCTGCGAGCTGCCTGGGTGTGGCAGACACAGCACGTCAAGCCTCTGGCCCCTTCTGGGCAATGGGCAAGGGGTTGGATGGGCCCCACCTGCTGTTTCAGTGTCAGGACTGACCACCAGGAAAGCCCATTGTGTGTCCTACCCGATCGCATGGGGTTGGGCCTTGGGCCCAGAACAGCCTCATGAGAGATAAGGCGGCTGGGAGGTGGGAGTAGGGCACCTGTGCTGCCTTATCTCGGGTGTGGGAACATCTTGCCTGCTCAGTCTCCCTGTGTGTTCTTTTGTTCTGCTTAAGCACCAGGCTCAAGGCTCTCGGGCAGGCTTTCAACCCTGGGTGTTCCAGACCGGAGGGAGGCCTGACCAGGGCCCTTCCCCTACAGCCCCAGCCAAGTGCACACAGATGGTGGTCACTGGACCGAGGCTCCTGTCACACACACCAGCTGGCCGTGAGGACTTAGGCCCCGTCACACACACCTGCTGGCCATGGGACCAAGGCTCTTGTTACACACACTTGCTGGCTATGGGGACCAAGGGCCCTGTCATACACACCTGCTTGCCATGGGGGATGAGGCCCCTTGCAACTCCAAGCCCGCTTTCTTCTTCCTTTCTTTTCTTTTTTTTAAGATATATTCATTTTACTTGAAAGTAAGAATTACAGAGAGGGAAGGAGAGACAAAGATCTTCTGTACATTGATTCACTTCCCAAATGACTGCAACATTCAGACCAGAGCTGGGCTGGTCTGAAACCAGGAGCCAGTAGCTTCTTGCATATCTTCAAATTTGAGTGCAGGGTCCCAAGGCTTTGGGGCATCCTCTGCTGCTTTTCCAGGCCATAAGCAGGGAGTTTAATTGAAAGTGGATTAGTCAGGGGCCCGGTAGGTAGCCTAGTGGCTAAAGTCCTTGTCTTACACACTCCGGGATCCCTTATGGGTGCTGGTTTGTATTCTGGCAGCTCTGCTTCTCATCCAGCTCCCTGCTTGTGTCCTGGGAAAGCAGTCGAGGACGGCACAAAGCCTTGGGATCCTGCACTCAAAAGGCAATTCCAGGGGAGGCTTCTGGCTTCTGGCTTCGGATTGACTCAGTTCCAGCCATCGTGGCTGCTTGGAGAGTGAATCATGGGCCGGAAATCTTCCTCTCTGTCTCTCCTCCTCTCTGTATACCTGACTTTGCAATAAAAATAAATAAATTTCTTTTAAAAAAATGGTTGAACAAAAGAAAATAGAGCAGTCGGAACTAGAATTGGCACCCATATGGGAGACCAGCATGGCGGACAGAGGATTAACCTGTGTATCACCTTGCTGGCCCCAGGGAAACGGCCCTTTTATAAAGCTCCATGTAATCATGTGGCATTGGCCTTGAGCAACTGCTGTCATCTGGTCTCTTGGGGCTGTGGCAGCTTCCCGCTCCAAACCGTGTGCTGCCTCAACATCATTCCCCTGCCTCTGCCTTTACTTCCATTTTGTACCAGCATGGGGCCTTCGGGCAGGTGGAAGGGAGAGCTTAGGGCTTTCTCTGGTCTTTGTTCAGTGCAACTGTGGCCCCCAGGTATGCACGTGGCCATTCGGGCTCTAGCAGTGTGTTGGAAACTTTTCAAGCTCCATACTGTTTTCAATAGCTACCATGAGGTCCTAGAGGCGGGGAGTTACGGGAAAAGCAGTACTTAGCTTGCAGTCATAGAGGTTGGAAGTCTGCACCGTGTATGTGCCAGCCGTGGCAGAGGTCCCCTGGCATCATCCCCTGACAAAGGGCATCACGGTGGCAGAGTGCATGCAGAGACAGGAAGTCCGAAAGCCCTTGACCCATGGGCCCCACATTCTAAACCATCCACACCAGCTCCACACACAGCTGCTCCAGGGCCCCGGCTTCCAGGACATGACTCCTGCACCATGCCAGCCCACAGCAGCCACACAGATACCTTATGCCCCAGATCTCCACGGACACTTTCCCTCAGTCTATTGTTTGTGCCACCTGTCACTGTGGCCCCCGGGCGGCTGTAGTTATGCAACTCTGTTTTTGACAGTTATCTCTGGGGCAAAGGCTACTCACATTGGGTGATTCAGCTCCCCTGTCCCCCGCCCCAAAGGGAGGGGAGTGGGTTGTCCCAGAAACCAGTAGGCAGGTGCAGTAATGACAGCTCCCTGGAAATGAGGGCTGGGGTCTTGTCTAGCTCTCCTTCTCCCTGCCCTGCACTCCCCAGCCTCCAGGGGCTACTGGTTTTCACAATGAGGGTGAGCTTTTGGTTTTCAAGGCGTGTGTGCTTGGGGAGGGTGGGAGAGCAGGGATGAAACAGCATGCTGAGACGGGCAGTGGGCAGACAGCACAGTCCGGTACAATGGACAGAGGATGGTAGGCCCAGCGCTGACTGTCCCCGGTGTATGTCCCAGTGCTTGCCCAGCTCTGTGCCTGGGCATGCTCTGTGCCTGCATCCTCTCTGAGCCCTCTCTGGTCCCTGTTGCGGGCTTCCTATCTGGCAGGTCCTGGGGTATCTGGGTTGCCGCCGAGCTAGATGTCCACCATGCTTGCTTCTCCGTTCAGAGTTTCTGTGAGAGCTCTCCCTTCTGTAGGGGTTCACAGAAGACACTCTGCCACAGCAAGCCTTCCAGTCTCCAACTGTGGGATGCCTCCTTCCACGGGGCCATACCAACCAGCGGCCACAGTTGGCAGAGAGTCCTAGGTCTAGATTTGGAGGTGACAGGTGCTTGGTGGGGTTTGGGGCAGGGGTCCATCCTTGCTCTATGGTTCCTTGGAGCCAAAGGGACTAAGTTGTACCTTCTTATCCTGACAAGGTCTATGGGGTGTCCCAAGAAGAAAAGGGCAGGGTTTTCTGTGAAGTTTAGACATTTCCAGTCCTTCTTTGGCCTTTTTGTCACTAGTAACCTGGGCATGTTGCACGTGTGCGTGCACACACACACACTCCCATGCCACTCCAGGCCTCAGGTTTCTCATCTGTAGAATGGACACATTGGGCTGGTCTGTAAGCAGCGGTGGCTTTTGCATGCTGTGTTTGCAGCCTCAGTGCTCTGCAGACTGGGCAGTTCCCCTTCTTTCTCCCCGGCCCGAGTTTTCCTAGAATATTATCTGTGTATGTGACCCCGATCTCCACACTTCTGTCCTCCTCTCAGTCCCACAGACCACACCTGTTGTGGCTGAGGAGGAAGGCCCCCCGTGCAGGTTCTACATACACTCAGTACTCGGGGACCCTCCCCTTTCACCCCCTTCTGCCTGTCCTCCAGCCTCTTTGCAGTCAGCCCTGGGGCCTGGTATGTTCCCGCTCACATCCTCTTTGTTGTTTCTACCCTTATCTTGTTCACAGAGCAGAAGAAAGGCTCCTGGGATGGGTGCCAAGGAAGCCGAGAGAGCATGGGAGGCAGCTTGCTCTGTCTCCCCTGCCTTTGGGATTGCCGGATTCCTGGGGTCTCCCAAGTGTTTCTATGCAGAGCGGCCGCACCCAAAACACAGTTACTCTTGAACCCTCACCCACCCAGGCCTCCCTCCTTCCCAAATGACTCTCACTCGGGCTGCTCAAGGCCTGTCATCATGATGCCTAGAGTGTTACACGCGGCCTGGCCACCCTCCCCAGGGTGCCTGTGATTGGCCGTCTGGTCCCCAGAATGTGGGAGAGCCCCGGGAGCTGTGTAGAGAGATCCCAGACAGCCAAGCCAGCCCGTCGGAGCCCTCAGGTGACAGGAAGAATGACAAGGCCCCAGGTGCAACAGAGCAGCTTTATTTGTGAGTGAGGAGACGTTACACCTGCTGGGGACAGGGCGGGCAGGTTTCTTGGAGAACACGTGGACCCACCCCTGGGAGCCCAGGCAGCTGGGTGGGACAGGCTGGGCTGAACAGCAGGGAGCGGTCCTGTTGGGGGAAGATCCCGGTCAGCAAGGACACTCAAGGATGCTGATTCTCAGAGACACCGGCTGCTATCACATCCACCCTCAGGAGGAGGCTGAGACCCCAGGCTGGGGCTTGTCACAGCCACAGGGCTGCCCAGGCTTGGGGTGTGCGTGTTTGACTGCATGTATGTGTGTGTGTGTGTGTGTGTGCATATGCAGCTGTATCAGTGTCCACATGTCTGTGTGTGTGTGTTGGGGCCATGTGTGTGTGATGGCTGGGTGTGTGTGTGTTAGGATCTTGTGTGTGTATGTGTGTGTCAGGGCCACGTGTGTGCCTCTGTGGAGCTGCACTGCTGTCACCCCTCTCTCCATCTCTGTCAGCTTTGCTCTGGATTGCTTTGTGTATTCATGTGTGCGTGTCTTCCTCTGGATGCCACCGTCCCATCCCTCCCCCACTGCTGCCCTCTCCCCGGAAGTGGGAGCAGCACTCACTGGCTTGGGGAGGGTTACAGCCGAATGACAAATTCCAGCTTGTTGATCAACAGATCTGCAACAACAGGAAGCAGGCTGGAGTCACTGTCCCCTGGGGATCGCCTACCTCCCCTTTTTCCCTCCTCCCCCAGAGTGGGAGGGCTGGGATATGGGGCTCTGGCTGGTCTAGGGGGCAGCAGTCCATCTCCCAACCAGCCCCAGGGTTCTCCGCATCAGGCCTGATGGAGGAGGCAGGATCTCTACCTCAAAATTCAGGGCAACCGAGGAAACTGAGGTCAGAGAGAGCCAACTGTCCTGGGGGTGTGGAGCAGGCTCCTGGGGGGGGGTGCTGTCCCCAGAGGGAGAGGGTCCTGGAAGGGGCCACTTACGGGCAATGTCGTGCACCAGGCTGATGTCCAAGTGGCCCAGAATCCCATTTACCAGAGGACACACCTGCCATGGGGGCAGAAGGGGCAGTTAGGTGGTAGGTACCTGTAGGGGTTCCTGGAAGATTTTTCTGCCTGGTGCCAGGTCATCCCATGGATAGACCCACGTTAGGCCTGGGAATGTAGAGTGTCTCAGCTGCCACCACAAGCCCAGCATTCCCCAGGTTGTCGTAGCGTCAGCTTCCAGGTTGGGTGGGGGGCTTTGGGGAGGGGTGAGTCTCTGCTTAGAGGAGGCTCTGGATGCCTGCCTGTGTGTCGTCAAGGCAGGCCGGATAGTGGGCATCTAAGGCTTGCCCGTTTCAGCTCAAGTCTGGGCATACACAGAGCCTGGTGCAGAGCACATGTCCATGGAAGCATTGGGAAGGATGGACAGAAGGCAAACTGGCAGGTGCAACCCCAAGGGGACGGTGGATGGGCCTGGGCTGGCTCAGCCCAGGGCTGTGTTCAGCCTGAGATGCTCTGAGATCCTGCACTGGGGGTGTGGGGTTGTGCCTCTGCTCACTCACCTTGCCCTGGATCAGATCGGGAAGGACTTTGGTCAGGATCCCTGTCAGGCTGTCTACAAGATTTTGGATGGCCGGGGGAGCGGTTCTGAAAAAAAAAAAAAAGGCCATGAGGCTGTGCGGTGGTCTGAGGTTGGTCTGCAGGGGCCTTGGGTGGAGCTTCTGTGCAGCCCTAGTTTTGGCACTCCAGATCTTGCCTCCCCATAGCCATGGCCACAGTCATGTGCAAGCCAACAACAAGCACTCTTTGAGACTGGTGCTGTAGGCTGGAATGCATAGTCTACGCTGAATGCCAGGGCATGTGTGCAGGTGTTGGCTGAGGCCGCAGACCCCACACATGCGCACATGGGCTCAGTGTACACGAGGGTGGGGGCTCAGCAAATGCACACAGGTGAAGCATGGAGAATGCATTTAGTAGATGCTAGCTACATTGGGGACAGCTCTTGCCTGTTATGACTGACTCAGTCTCCCCGTATGACAGGCAGCCAAAATACATAACCTGGTTAGGTTCCCCATCTACTTTCCTCTGCGGTAGGCAAAGCACAAACATTCCTAGGATTTTGGGGGGATTCTACTAGGAACCTCAGTCGAGTTCCATGTTACGGATCAGTAAGCTGAGACTGAAGTAGGAGACGCTGGGTCCAAGTGCACATAGGAAGCTCTCCATTTCTCTTTCCACCCCCTGTAACAGATGGGACTCTAACCCAGATGGCGCATTGCCTAATCCAATACACTGCAGGTTAGCCTGGATAGGTGACTTTCATCCATCCATTTCCCTGTCCATTGGTCCATAAATCTATGTCCATCTTTCCTTCTATCCTCTGCTCATCTCTCCTTTGACTGACCACTGACCATCCATCCATTTACCCATCTGTCTTTTTCTCCTTCCACCCACCTACCCATCCATCTGTCCCTCTTTTCTCATTCTCCCATCCATTTCCTTAATCTTCCCTCCTCTCCCTCATTCTCCTATTGGTCTATCTTTCTGAAAACTCATCCATCATCCCATTTCTGCTGTCTGAGCAACAGAAGGCACTGCCTGGTCTTACCCATTTAGAAGGGAGATTTCCAGGCTGCCAGGGGGATGGGTGCAGTCACCAACAACCAGACGGGTCTTCCCCTGGCTGTCCTTCACAGCCATTATCTCCGCTGTGATGTTGAGCTGCACAGCCAGCTTCAGCAGGTTCCCGACCAGGGGCCTGTAGAGGAGACAGCCCTGCTGGCATCTGGCCTTCCACATTCCAAGCCAGTCAGGCTTTCTCCTTGCCTGAAATGCCAGCCGCATTGCCCTCCACCCTGCTCACCACTGTACTCAGCCTATTTCCTAGTAGGGGGAACAAGGTGAATTCCCCAAGCCACCCAGTGTTGCTCAGCACAGCAGTTAATGAGCTAAAGCTGAATGAAGGGTCAGGTCTCTTGGAGTCCACACCCACCTCTTTGGCTACTTATGATTGGCAAGGTCCTGGTAACCTGTCTGCCCCCATACATTCTTGGGACCCACTCACGTGTTTACTTTGAGGATCAGGCCCAGGGGGATGGTGACATAGAGGCGATGACCAGCAGGACTCTGAACAAGGCCAAGTTCCAGAAGCTGGGGATTGGTGACCTTAATACTGTTCAGGAAACAATGTTGCCAGGAAAGCATTAGCACATCCACCCCCAAACCCAGATGCCATCTTCCACTGCCATCTTGCCTATGCCAGAGAGAGACCACCTACCTGGGGTGGGGACAAAAAAAACTACATGTGTCCTTTTGATGTGATTCTCACCACCCCCACACACAGATGCACGCACACACACACACACACACATACACACACACACACACAGCGTTCTCTCCTCACCTCAAGTCCATGAGTTATTCCAGGCTGTCTGTGTCTGTCCTTGATTTGCCTTCTATGTGCTAGCTCAAGGGCTTACAAAGGAAATGGTTACTCCATATTGGCTGTCTGTGTGGCTTGATGGGAGTGGGGGACAGAGAAGTGTGTGGATGGATGAACGAAGGTGTAGTGAGAAGGAGTGAGGAGCAGATGCATGGACAATGGATCGGTTAGTGGATGAGTCAACGATGTATGGACAACTGGAGTAAATGCTGCATGAATGTTCATGGTGAGGAATCACTCTTCCTGTTGCAACCTTCAGTGGTAAGCAGGTGCCCAAAGTTTATCATAGGGGTGGAGAGGCAGGAAGTCAGTGTGGAAAGGCTGGAAGACAGACCTCCCTAGTCTAACCTGCAGGCCTTCTGACACTCTGTGGGTACCACAGTCTTCACTTTACAGATGGAGAAAATGTGGCCCCAGAGACTGGAGTCCTCCAGCAAGTGAGTGGTACATTTAGAAATCAAACTCTGTCCCCAAGATGGGAAGCAACTACCTGGCAGGAGCTGGGGTTGGGCTCTTGGACATGGCTCCACCAGCCTGTGTGGTCAGCCTTTGCTTAAGTGTTTCTTGCTCGGTGAGCTTTCATGAGTGTTGCAGGGAACACCACATTAGAACTTTACCCCGACTTGCATGATGCTACAGTGGAAACAGGCAGTGTACACTGTCTAGCTTTTATCAGAAGGCTGCCTGGGTGTCAAGGCATTACACAAGTGGTAGTAGTGTAAGACGCCTTGACTTTGGGCCTTGCTAAGTTAGGGTCTGCCTCATCCCAGTGACGGGAGACAGATCCTCCCTATGATTTGGTTTTCCCAGCTATACTGGAGATCACAGAGCAGACTCCAGGGCTGCCTTGAGAGTTCTAGGAGGTACAGGAGCTTCCAGATTGATATGGGAGGGAGGGAGGCAGGGGGCCCCTGCTGGACCAGAGAAGAGACTCGGAGTTGAGTCCCAGTCCCTGGTTCTGAACACTCCATCGCTTCCTTCTGGGACATTTCCTGAGGCTGGCAGCTCCTCAGTCGGGATTCGTGATGGGGGCCAAGGCCCTGTTTTAGGACAACTCACTCAATGATGCTGCTCAGACCGGGGATTAGTGAAGTCACTTTTCCCAGCAGGTTCCCAAGCAGGCCACCAGAGGCACCTCCAGTCCCTAGGAGGTCCAGGAGCGGGAGATTTTCCAGGGTGCCAGCTAGATCCCCGGTGAGCAGGCCACTGCTAAGCGCTGGACACACAGAGGAAAACTTTTGGCAGTCAGATCTGACAATTCCAGAACATCAGACCCCTGCTTCATTCATCCCTGCTGTGTTCTCCCTGCCCCCATGACCAGACACATAAGGGCACATGCATACACACATGTCTGAAAGAGACCATCACAGATTCACTTACCATTTGTCAAGCTTCCAGCAAGCTCTGTGGGATCCGTGGGCAGGGCCGGACCCACAGGCAAGGCCAGGGCCTGGTTCAGAGGCGAGGGCAGGTCTGGACTCGCTGACAATGGCAGGGCCTGGTCCAAGGGCAATGACAGGGTCTGGTCCAATGGCAAGGACAGGGCCTGGTCCAAGGGCGAGGGCAGGGTCTGGTCCAGGGGCAAGGGCAGGTCTGGACTCGCCGGCAATGAGAGGGCCTGGTCCAGGGGAAAGGTAAGGTTTGGACTTTCTAGCAAGGACAGGGCCTGGTCCAGGGGCAAGGACAGGTCTGGGCTTTCCAACAAGGCTAGGGCCTGATCCACAGGCAAGGTCAGGGTCTGATTCAAGGGCAAAGACAGGGCCTGGTCCAGGGGCAAGGGCAGGGCCTGGTCCAATGGCAAGGACAGGGCCTGGTCCAAGGGCGAGGGCAGGGTCTGGTCCAGGGGCAAGGGCAGGTCTGGACTCGCCGGCAATGAGAGGGCCTGGTCCAGGGGAAAGGTAAGGTTTGGACTTTCTAGCAAGGACAGGGCCTGGTCCAGGGGCAAGGACAGGTCTGGGCTTTCCAACAAGTCTAGGGCCTGATCCACAGGCAAGGTCAGGGTCTGATTCAAGGGCAAAGACAGGGCCTGGTCCAGGGGAAAGGACAGATCTGGACTCACAGGCAAGGGCTGAGCTTGCTTCAGGGGCAAGTTCAAGTCTGGACTCACAGGTAACAGCTGGGCTTGCTTCAGGGGCAAGGTCAAGTCTGGACTCACAGGTAACGGCTGGGCTTGCTTCAGGGGCAAGGTCAAGTCTGGACTCACAGGTAAAGGTTTGACTTGCTTCAGGGGCAAGGTCAAGTCTGGACTCACAGGTAATGGCTGGGCTTGCTTCAGGGGCAAGGTCAAGTCTGGACTCACAGGTAATGGCTGGGCTTGCTTCAGGGGCAAGGTCAAGTCTGGACTCACAGGTAATGGCTGGGCTTGCTTCACAGGGCTGGACACAGCCTTGTTCAGTGGCAAAACCGGAAGCTGGGCAGGAAGCAAGGGAAGACCTTCCAGCTGGACTATGGTCTGCACCAGCAGTCCCCAGAAGACAATGAGGCCTCTGACATGCGACATCTCCTCCCTTGATCTCTGTGGACAGAATGATGACTCCCAATGTGGTCTGAATGTCACAGGAGCTGGTCCACCTCCCGCACTGTTCATTGTGGGTTGCACCTCTCATGTCTTCTCTCCCCGGAACTCTTCCGCCCACCTTGGCACACAAACACTGCTGTGCCCATCCTCTGCCAGCCTCAGGCTGCTTCCTGTCCCCTTAGTGTCTGCTCGCATCTGAGCTGGATCCAATGACACTGCACAGCCGAGGGGAGACTTGGCAAGCGTAAGAAGTGTCCTCCAAGGTCTCAAGTACACAGAGGAGGTAGGAGGCAGTTGTGAAACCAGACCTGCTCGACCTGGAGACCTCTGTGGACATGGAGGGACTGGCTTGCTGCCCCTGGCCTGGGTCACTGCCCCTGGTCCCTGCTCTCAGACCAGCATTTGCACGGCTGAAGAAATGACGGCCCCTGTTGAGGCTTTTGGTCTGGGTTCAGGCCATCCTGGTTTATAGACTAAACAGACTCATAGCCATCCTCGCATAAGGATCTCTGTTGCAGAAATTTTCGCTGTTTAAGAACTTGGATGTAGAGAACCAAAGGACCAGAGAGGGGTAATGGCTTTTCCAAGGTCACACCATGATCGGTGGCCAAGCTACAGTTGGAGGCAGGCCTGCAAAGCCTGCTGAGACAGTCTCACATACATACACAAGCTCTCTTGGCTCTTTCTCCCTCAGGCTTGGCCCCAGGGGAACTGAGGCAAACCCTGGAGTTTTGCTGTCTTTGGACCCAGATACTGCCAATTCACCCCCAGGTCTACTTGGCAACCAGCGAGAGCCTCCACAGGCTGATCTGGGGCCTGCATTCAAATGTGCTGTCTGTTAGGGCAACGCCGGTCAGCCAGTACACTTTGCCTGCGCGCACTCACTCTGGGGCTGGGATGGAGAGTCCTTTTGGGTCCCTAGGGCTGGTGCGGCCCCCGTGGGGAGGGGAACATTGACCTCTGAACGTCTTTATGATAGATCCTTTATGAACGCAATAGAAGTAAAACATTCCCAGTTCCAGAAAAGCACACCCAGAGATACAAAACCAGGTCAAAATCTCAGGAGGTTTGTGGATGATCCAAACCCACATTGGAATTCGAACCCCAAGTTCAAATTCATGCTTCAGAGCTTTCAGTCTCAGGCATGAGCAATGCTCGTCTCTGCACTTGACCTAGGAAGGCGGAGCGAATGTCGGCCCCTCCATCCTGACCGCAGCCTGTCCTGAGTCCCTGGCAAGGCTCACAAGTGTGTGACCCTATCCGTGCTCTGCTCCTGCCTGCCCCGCTATGGGGAGCCTGGTACCGTCTCCCTGCCCCTGCCCCTGCCAGCCAGGGCAGTGGAGGGACACGGAATAGGCCCATCTCACCTGGGCTTCCCGGAGGTCTCAGCAGCTCTTGTGGTCTCCTCCTTCCTCGTCTCCTTGCTGCTGCCAAGGAAGGCAACTTCTTTTATAGCACGGGAATCAGGAAATATCCGATGGGAGGATGACTTTCTAGATGCTTCAGCAATCTGGCAATGTCTTTCAGAGCTCTCCAAAGTAAATAACTGCCAATCACACTGGCAGGTGGGACTGCTAAGCTCTTCAGTCGACAAATTAACCAGGAAAACTTGAGCTGTTACTCAAGACTTGGTGGTTTGGGAGTAAGGCTGTGGTTGGGGACCCACACTCACGGTGGCCTAGGAGGGTACACGCAGGACACTGAGAGAAGAGCTGGTCAGAGCCCAGGAAGGGATTTGTCTTATCTCTTGGCCACTGTCCTTCTCTCATCTGATTCTTTCTCTCCAATTGGAGAGCACCTGCTCCCAGGGTCACATGAGCTGAGTTCTGGCTTCCCAGAACTGGTGTGCTCACGTCCCACTGATGTCAGGGACGGGGTCTCCCTGTAGCTCCATGGTCCTGGGAGTGCAGGGGATGGTGGGGCCACTGTTCCTCCTTGACAGAAGGGGAAGCTGTGTGAGGCAGGAATAAGGTTCTCTAGGGGGCGGCCTGAAGCCCAGAGTGTATAATGATAGGAGTGTAGCAGCTCAGATGGCCCGGCTTGTCACTCGCCCTGGTCCCTCCTTAGTTTCTACGCTGAGAAGTGAAGAGCACCCCAACTCCCTACCTGTGGATCTCGTGCTCCCCACTTACACAGCCCACGTCCCCAGCGTTCCAGGCCTGAGGGCTCCCAGGATCCTGGCTGCTCTCCTCATTCTGTTGCTACTGTTTCCCAAGCAAAATAACCTAGCACTTGTCGTTATCACTTTGAAGAAAAGAGAAGAAAAGAGAAGGAAAGGGAAGAAGCACTTGGCTTGGTGGTTATGAAACCCGTGTCCTCTGGTGGAGTGCTGGGGTTCGATTCCAAGCTCAGGCTCCTGACTCCAGCTTCTGGCCTGTGCGCCCTGGGGGGCGGGGGCAGTGATGTTACCCACGTGGGAGGCCTGGTTGGAGTTTGGATTCTTGCCTCAGCCCTCTGGTTTCTGTGGGCACTTGGGGATGAACCAGCAGATAGAAAGACATGCAACTTACTAACACCTATGTGCCAGATCCAAGCCTTATCTTTATCAGAAGTGGTTGGCATTGGTACCTCTGATGCATCAGTGTGGGGACTGGTGGGCCAGGGGTGGGGTAGGGCAGGGACACACAACACGTGAGCAATGGAGTCCATTTAGCATCCCCCTGCTCTGCCCACACCCACTGAGGGGTCATCCAAGCTGGGGGGTCTTCCTCTCACACCAGGTCTTTCTAGCCCTGCTCCACAGCCTGTGTGAGTGAGTCCAGGGCTGGGCTAGTAGTTGTTTCATTATATCAGTTTTAATTAGAATGTTTTGATTAACATGTGATACTTGTTCTTATGGTACAATGCTGCAACACATGCATGAACTAATCAAACAGGGTAATTATCCTTTCTTTACATTTGGAGCTGACTAACCCCACTTACCAGAACTTGTTTTTGCTTTTTTAAACATTTTAGGGTATGTGTGTGTGTCTGACATTTTGGTATTGAGGATTAAGCCATCACTTTCAATGTTGGCATTCCATATCAGAGCTCTGGTTTCAGTCCCAGCTGCTCTATTTCCAATCCAGCACCCTACTAATGTACCTGGGAAAACAGAAAATGGTCCAAGAGTTTGGGTCCCTGCACGCATGTGGGAAACCAGGATGAAGTTCCTATCTCCTGCATTCAGTCTGGAGCGGTGCTGGCCTTTGCAGCTATTTAAGGAGTAAATCAATGGGTAGAAGATTCTCTTTTACCCTGCCCTTCGAAGAATTCAATCTTAAAAAAAAAGACTTTAGAAATTATTTATTTACTAGCATGTGCACCAGAGACATTCTGGTTAACTCCAAGTCCTTGGATTCTGGCATCCATGAGGTAGGTCCAGCTAGAGTCCTGGGACCTGACTTCTGCCTGGACCAGGTAGGTGGCCATTTGGAGAGTGGACCAGTGGATGAAAGATGGGTCTCTGTGCCTCTCCCTCTCTCTTTGGAGCTCTGAATTTTAAATGAGTCAATAGGAAGCGAAGGAGATAGAAGCACCTCCTTCAGATAGTGGGGCACAAATGAAGCCTCTGGAAGAAGCAATAAAATGCCGGGCGGAAATGGATCACCAAGCGTGGTGGCATTTGAACATCATCAAAGTGAAAAGCATGGGGTTTGGCACAGTAGCCTAGTGGCTAAGGTCCTCACCTTGCACTCTCCAGGATCCCATATGGGCACTGGTTCTAATCTCAGTGGTCCCACTTCCCATCCAGCTTCCTGCCTGTGGCCTGAGAAAGCAGTCATGGACAGCCAAAAACCTTGGGACCCTGCACCCACGTGGGAGACCTGGAAGAGGCTTCTTGCGCCTGGCTCCTGGCTTCGGATCAGCTCAGCTCCGGCCATTGTGGCCACTTGGAGAGTGAGCCATCGGACAAAGATCTTCCTGTTTGTCTCTCCTTCTCTATATCTGACTTTCCAATAAAAACAAAAGCAAGTCTTAAAAAAAATAAAAAGAAGAAGGAGAAGAAGAAGAAGAAGAGAGAAATGTGTGCCGAGGCCAGAGTCTCTGAGCTGAGATTCTCCCAGGTCTCCAGCCTCACCGCCCAGCAGCCCAGGCCCTGGAATAACCGGCCCAGTGTCACCAGGTTCCAACCGGATTCTGAGTCCGAGTGCACCTGCTACCTGACGTGAAACCAGAAGAGGTGAGCTTGCTATGAAGTAGCTCAACTCTGGGCCTTCACTGACTTGGAGTACCTGCTGCTTTCCTTGTTTTGTGTATTAAAAGCATCATTTTGTTGTTGTTCTTTATTTGAAAGAGAGAGATGTATCTTCCACCCACTGATTCATTCCCCAAGGGCCTGCCAACAGCCAGGACTGGGTCAACCTGAAGCCTGGGAACTCAGTCCAGTTCTTTCTATTCTATAGAATACAGAAGAGACAATGCAGACCCCACAGTCTGTATTAGTAGGAAACAGGATGCTCCAGTTCTCCTCCTCCTCCTTCTTAAAGATTTATTGATTTGAAATGCAGACTTAGAAGGAGAGAAGAAGGGAAAGAGAGAAGAGTCAGGAAGAGGAAGAGAGATTTTCCTTTTATTGGCTCACTCTGCACACGACTGCAACCTGCAATGCCAGCGTTGGGCCAGGCAGAAGCAAGGAGGGCACTGGGTCTTCCACATGGGTGCAGGGACCCTCGCTCTTGGGCCATCTGCCACTGTTTTCCCAGACCTTTAGGAAGGAGCTGGATGGGAAGTGGAGTAGCTAGGACTTGAATTGGCACCCATATAGGTTGCAGGCACCAAAGACGGTGGTTTACCCTACTATGAGCCACAGTACCACCCGCTGTTTGTATTTCAAATTTCTTTTTTCAAATTTGTTTATTTTACCTTAAAGTGAGAGTTGCAGAGAGAAAAGGAGAGACAGAACGATAGATCTCCATCTGCTGGTCCATTCTCTAAATATCAAAATGGCCAAAGCTGGGCTGATCTGAAAACTGGGAGCCAGGAATTTCTTCCAGGTCTCCCATGCAGATGTAGGTGCCCAAGGCCTTGAGCCAGCCTCTGCTGCTTTCCCCGGCCATTAGCAGGGAGCTAGATTGGAAGTGCAGCACTTGGGACATGTTCAGTGCCCATATGGACACTCATATTGGTGCTGCAAGTGGAAGATTAGCCCACTACACCACTGTGCCAGCCCCTAATAAATTTTTAATTAAAAAAATATATACCATGAAACGCTTCAACATATATGGGTTCCCACTTAAGCCTCCAAGCACAGCAGGACACAGCGGAACTCTTCAAATCCTTTCCTGCTGTCCCCTTTGAGCCTCGTTTTGTCACCTGTAACCTAGTGCTAACAGCATCCAACACCCCAGGTGGGCAAAAGCCTGCACCAAACATCCCAGCATTCGGGGCTGAGCTCCGGTGTGCACCACCCCTACCGAGGACCCTGGCTCATCAGAGACACCTATTGTTGAGTAAGCACTTCCCCGCCCCTTCCATGAACCTGAAAAAGAAAACAGAATTTGAGAAGTCCCAGGAGGCCCCTTGAGGAAGCCCCCAAGCGAGCCGAGGATGAGTCAGGAGGAAGGCGACAAAAGCCACCTTGAGTGCTTGCCAAGCGCTGTCGCTAGGGGCTGGCCCAGCCCTCCTCCGTGCTTGCCCTTTCCCAGGGGAGCAGGAGGAAGCCACACACCCCCAGCTGTCACCATGAGATGGACACAATCTGAGAAGGCGGGTGGCTAGGGTTGCAAATCCCCGGTGAAGCGTTTCGGATTAGGGCGCTGGGACTGATAGATGCGGACACCAAGCCTCTTGGCCATGACCAAGCTGTTGACACTTCCTGGTGCGAGCTGGTTGACCTGGCTCAGCACCCATCTCCTCATGCCTCCTTCCCTCACTGCACGCAAGTGTGTATGTGAGCGTGCTGATGAGTATATGCGCGTTTGTGTGTGTGCAGTATGTGTGTATGATGTGTGTGTTTATGTGCGCATGAATAGGGGTATACATGGTGGAAGGGAGACAGACCTGGGGTGGGGTAGGCAGTGGTTGGCATGGCCTTGGGCACACATGGAGCCTCTTAGGTGAGGTTGCTGGGAGGCCCTGATGAGATGTTGAACATAAGCTCCTGTTCTTCTCAGTAGGTACGTGTCATCGCCCCTTGGTTTCTCAGGATGTCTTCCCAACCCGCGGACAAGGTGGGTGAAGAATCGGTGCTTAGTCAAGAAGCAACCAATAGCCAAGTAATTACCCACAGCCAGGATGATGGATGGCGGGCCTTTCTTTTGGACCTCAGACATATTGCAATTATTTCCAAACACTCAGCCCAAGCCTCCTGTATTTATCTTTTAAACTGAAATTCATTAAATTACTACTTAGAAAAATGCACCCAAGGAGCAGCTCCAGAGACAGGACACGATCTGGGAAGTCCCTCCGACCCTTCAACCCTCACTTAAGGCATCCACTCTCTGACCTTGGTTTGGGGTGTGTGTGTATGTGTGTGTTTTTTAGTTCAGTTGCTTTTGAGCTTCACTCTCAGGGGAACACATCAGGTGCTCTTAGAGCCTGAATTCTTTCCACGGTGTGTGTGGCTGGTGTTCATGTTCGTTACTTAGGGCACTCCAGTGGACAAATACCCCACAGGATATTTACTCATTCTTTTATTTATAATAAAAAGTTTATTGTTTGTAAAATGTATTTGAGAAGCAGGGAGGGGGTGGAGAGAGAGAGAGAGAGTTGATTTATCCTCGCTGAGAGCCAGAGCTGGGATTTGAACCGTGGTACTCTGGCTTGGGCTGTGAATGTCTTGACCCCAACATTCACTCTTTTGAGGGGCATTGGCAGGTGTTTTGTTGTGAGACTCGGGGCGGGACCACGGTGTCCGCATGTGTGCCGTAGTGGGATGCTGCACACTGAATGATGGAGCTCATGGTCGGCGTGTTGCCACTCATTCCTCTGCAGTGAACAGAGTGGGAAGGCTCCTGCCGCTCACATCCTGCAAGCTTTCTGTTCCCACTCTGCAGATGGGAACACTAAAGGATCAAGGGCCTATTCTGAACCCTATAGTGAGTCCTAAGGCACAAGTGACCATGAAGATTGATGGAGTGCTCACATCTGGGCCAGCCCCTGCTAGGTTTTGGTGTGTGAGGAGTCAGATGGGATAGTAGACAGCTAGGGTCTATGGTCCCTGGTGAAGTTATCTTTAAAATATAAAATTGTGCTTCTCCCTGTAAAAATAGGGGCCTGGCATGATAGCCTTGTGGCTAAAATTCTCACCTTGAACATGCTGGGATCCTATATGGGCGCCAGTTCTAATCCTGGCGGCCTCGCTTCCCATCAATCTCCCTGCTTGTGGCCTGGGAAGCAGTTGAGGATGACCCAAAGTGTTGGGACTCTGCATCCATGTGGGAGATCCACAAGAGGCTCCAGGCTTCTGGCTTCAGATTGGCTCAGTTCCAGCTACCGTGGCCGCTTGGGGGAGTGAACCATCTGACAGAAGATCTTCCTCTCTGTCTCTCCTCCTCTCTGTATATCTGACTTTCCAATAAAAATAAATAATTTTTAAAAATGTAAAAACGGGTCTTTCCCCTATTTCCATATCCTTCCTGAAACAAGTTCTCCCTCGGGGGAGGGAACAAAGGGACAGAATCAGGATATCAACCCCCATCTCTTGGAGCAAGGAGTCATAGCCCACACCAACCTCATCTCTGGGTCGCTGTCAAAGGAATGGTGCTTTAGTTCAGCTCATCTTCAGGATGGGGGAGAGAAGCCACAAGGCTCACCCTTCAGGCTCTGGGGGAGGTGGTAGACATTACTGCCCAGTGTAAATACATTTTTTTTCTTTTCTGCTTCCTTATCTCCTTTACCCGTTGAAGTAACTTCCTTTAGATGGAACATAAAAGACATGATTTCCACCATTTCCTTGGGTCTTTCCTCCCTTGGAGCCCCCTCCTGTCACTAAGACAGGATCCTCTTTCTTTCCTGAACAGATCTTGCTTTGCAAACTAGAGTTTGTCTGCATGAAAATTCTTCTTTCCTGTGAGACAAGAAATGAGGCTGCTGCCGTGTTTCGTGACCAATTCCCTACAACAACCGGGCTTTGCGGTCCTCAACAGGTGTTTTATGCTCTTCTGGAGCTTCTAAGGATGAACTGAGCCTAAATGGAACTTAGGCCTGTTGGGTACCCATGTTTGTGTAAGTTCACTCTGTCTCCCTTTCTGTACCTCTCCATGGAGCCCAACAATGTTCTTGGCACAAATCAGGTGCCCATTGAATGAATGAAGGAATGAATGGGAAGCCTCAACCAGCCCCCCTCCTGCCTTGCCACACTGGTGAGCAAACCACCGGTGGGCTTCTGGGTGAAAGGTGGGCTGGGGTCCCCTTTGGTATTTCAGGGTAAACCTGGGAGTGTTTGTTCCAGCCCTTACTCCTGGGCCTGACATCGGGCTGTGAGCAGAGCGGCCTGGGTAGTCTTCAGAGCTACAGTTTATTGTGGGAGAGGTCCACAGGTTCTGGGGTCAAGGTTTCCAGGGGGCAGCACAGCTCCACTTCGTGGGAGACTTGAGGTCCCAAGGTGTGGAAGCTTGCTTTGGCCAACAGGGGGCAGCTAAGAGGCCCTGCAGCCCAGAGTGTATGGCCTGGGTTCACAGTTGATGAAGTTCATGAGCAGAAGCTTGTTCTGAAATGAGAAGAGGCAGTCTCACTCCTCAAAACACCCAGCCTGCCCACCCTACCCTGGGCCCACAGCAGGACCACCATGGTGGGTGTGGACACAGGTGTGGGTGGGGCCAGTGGTCCTGGTGGGGTTGGGTGGTGCTCCTGGGACAAGCTGGTATCCTGGTACCTCTATGGTTCAGGGCTCAGTTGGCCTGGTCAGGACCTCCTCTGCTGCCCCAGCTCCTCAGGGACCGGTGGTGGTATTGGCAATGTGGCCACCACTCCCGTAGGCACCTCACTGAACCCTCCAGAGTCCTTTGCCCATCCTGAGGTGTGTGGTCCCCATACTTACCCATGAGGCTCTTCAACAGCTTCACATCCAGCTGCCTCAGGATCTCGTCCATCCGTGGACATACCTGGACCGAAAGGATAGGGCCCGCTGAGCACCAGCTCATATCAGGTGCTCCGCATCTTCACAGCAAGTGCAATGAGGCTGGGGAGGCTGTGTTTTTTTCGCCCAAGGGCACACAGACAAATCTAACATTCTCAGTTGAGATTTTTTTCCAAGTTTACCAACTTGCCAATAGATAGGCCTGGCTTTATTTTTTTTTTTCCCTTCAAGTTTACCTGACTTTCTACCAGGCGTGGCATGATTTTTTCCAGGTTCTCTTTGAAGTTGTAGACAAAATGCTTCGTCTTGGGTGGGACAGCCCTGAAGAGAGAGGAAGGTGTGTGGGATGGAGCCCGTGTGACCAGGCAGCACCAGAAGAGCCCGAACTGATGGGTTGAGGACACCTTCTGTTTATTTCTAAAAATTCATTAATTTCATTGATTTGGGTGGGGGGAGCTGCAGTGTGTGTGGTTCCTGGCATGCTATAGATTTTTGAGAAATGTAGAAATTCCTGGGGGATGAGAACAAGCTTTGGAGATCAGAGTGGCCTGTGTAAGGCCTGATGCTGTGATGCGATGTGTGTTGTAGATGGGCTGGGAGGCCGCAGGCAGCAGAGCTGGGCAGACACAGGACAGGGAGGGCCCTGAGTGGCCTCTGGGAATAGACTCTGTTTCTGGACCTTCGTTTCTGGAAGCAGTGGGGACATTGCAGTAGAGGTCGGGGGTGTGGTCTGCTCTAGGGCAGAGAACTGAGGGAAGCAGGCTGCTGCAATGGTGCAGGGAGTGAAGTGAGAGCTGGGGCAGTGTGGAGGGCTGGAGGGGAAGGGAGCAGTGGGGGCCACCAGGATGGGAGCCAGCGAAGGCCTGGCTTCCAGGAGGGTGGTAGGGCCTTCGCTGCGTGGGGACAGTGGCAGAGGAGCAGATTCTCGCAGATGACAGAGTCGGTTTGGATCTCCTCTGGGAGGAAGGGCACAGTTGGGGTGTAGCCTTACTGGGTGAGAATCTGCACATGGTCCCCGTCGGGCTGCACCTGGCATTTGCCCATCACCAGGTCCCTCCGGCCGAACTCGTCTTTCTGCAGCCAGAACTCCACCGTGAGGTTCATGCGCACCAGCGTCGGAACGACACTGCTGCTCACGGGCCTGCGGGTGACAGGAGGAGGACAGGCGGTGGTGGTAGCAGCAGCCAGCACAAAGGCTGGCTCTCCTTGTGGGACAAGACAGGCAGCCTGAGTCCTTCCCACAGGCCAGGCCCAGGGAAAGCCTGAAAGCGGCTTGGGGATCCAGGAAATTCCTTACAATAGACTGCCCCTTGGAGATTCCACAGCTGAGAGTTAATTTCAATGCAAAAAAAAGTCTTCCTGTTTGGCTTTGTCTCTTTTTCCATAGGGACAGCAGATGCCGAAGGGGTCTGATGAGCAGTGGGTGGGCAGGAAATGCAAGGGGGTCCCCCTTTAATTAATTCCCATGCAGCAAGCTGTGCTGGGTCTGAAGGAGCATCAGGGACACCATCCCATTTTGGCTGCAGAAACCAGGCTCAGAGAGATCAGATCCCCTGCTCAAGGTCACACAGCAAGTACAGAGGGCAGAGTTTGAACTCATAAAGATCTAGATTTCCCAGGCTACCAGGTTCCACCTCCCACTCTCCGTCAGTCCGGCCAAGTTCCCAGGGAGGAAGAGAGGCACTTCCTGAACTCACAGGCCCAACTCAATGTCAAGTTCCAGTGAGATGTTGGCTGAGAACCACTCCTTGTGGAAAGACATCTGGATCCCACCGTAGTCCAGCTGGACGCTGGCGATGCTGATGCTGTACAGGGAGGACAGAGCAGAGGCCCGCGGCGGGCAGGCAGCTAAGACACAGCCCGGGGCTGGCTGCGCCACCTGCCATCACTTCCTTTCCCGGCTGCTCTGAGGGTGAGACGCAGGTGCAGGAGCTGTGGGCTGCCCCAGAGTGTCCCTGATGGATCTCTACTCTGTGGTCAGTGAGGTCCAGGCCAGCTGTGGGTGAGCTGTAAGGCGAAACTCTGATGCTAAATTCAGGCCAAACCTCTCCTCTCAGCAGATGCCCTTACATCTGCCCAAAGCCTGGGAGCTGTCTTCTCTCCATGCCTCACCCCTAAACTCAAACCATGCTGGCTCTGTTCACTAATGATTACACATTGCTATGCTCATGTCTGGCCACTTCCGGCCCTTACATGGCTTGGTCTAGGTCACTACCACCTCCTGCCTTGAGATGACATGGTTCCTCTCTGGTTCCCCTGCCACGGTCGTGGCCTCAGGGGCCCTAACACTCACCTGCCACTCAATAGTCCCTGTCACATATTCATGGCTTTGAGAATGAAGACCAAACCGTACACTCCAAGAGCTGCAGGTTTAGGGCTCCCTGTCCCCATGCTCCCCACCCCTGCAGCCCTATCTCCCCTTACCTTCCGCATGCTCATCCAGCCCCGTGGAATTTTTTCCCTTCCTCAAAGGCACTGACCTCGTCCCAACCCCAGGGCCTTTGTACTCACTGCTCCATCTGTCCCCCAGGTCTCTTTCCAGGTTTCTACCTAAGGCCACCTCCGTAGGTCCTTCTGGCCAGTCTCCCTACCTGTCCCCCTTCATCCATTAACTTGCTTAACCTGGCTCTGTAACTTGCTCCTTCACTTGAAATTATTTGCTTCCTGTAGCTGATCACACTAACCGGCATGCCAGATCCCCAAAGGCAGTGACTATGTGTGTGTGGTTCATAGCCCAGGTCCTGGTATACAGTAGGTACTCAATGAATAACTAATGTTTGGTGAGAAAAATGAATGCAGGGCAGTGATAGCATCCTGGGAAACATGGCTGGTGTCCACTGGGCTCATGAAAACAGAGAGTGAGGCAGGCAGGAGGGCAGAGCAGCCTGCAGCCGTGGCATTGGCAGTGCCCTGGAGCCTGTGGAGGTCTGGGGAGCTGCCAGGCCTGTGTCTGAGAGGAAGGAGTTAGAGTGGAGCAGCATAGGCTTGTGGTGCAAGGAGTCATAGTTGTTGGGGATTGCATGGCCACGGTGTGCAACAGCCAAGTCATGCATGCGCTTCAGAGAGCTCCTGGCAGCTCCCAGAGGCAGGCGCACCCCAGTTCCCAGGGAGACCCCTGGACGAGAGCTCAGTGCACTCAGATGCCTTGCTCAGAGCCACGAGCTGCCAGGGACCTGGGCGCCTGATGCTAACCCTGGGCTTGTCTGGTGCCTGATGTTTATCCTGGCTGTGTTTTGGGTATAAAGTGTGTATGCATTTTACAGATGAGTCCAGCAGGGTCAACAGTTTTCCCCAAGGTTGGTGGCTGAGCCAGCATTTAAGCCCAAGTACTCCTGAGTTGTCACATTCAGTGACCCTGTTCCACCAGTGCGCAGAGATCCCTGGCCTGGAGTCACTCCATTTTGTCCTGGGCACTTTGTCCTCCTCCTTCCCTTCTTTCAATCCCCTTCCTTCCCTCTCCATGACCTTGCATCTCCATGCTCCTGGCTCTGCCTTCTGTCCCAAAGTCATGGGACAAGGGTCAAGGGTGCCAGGATTTGGGGTGAGGCTTAAGGTCTCACCTGATCTCTTGCTGCTGCTGGATATTCATGCCACCGATAAGCCAGCCCACCATGCCTGGGACTGCTTGCCCAGAGACGTTCAGACTGTCCAGGAGGTGCAGCTTCTGGATTCGGCCCTCCACATTGCTATTCATGAGGCCTTGGGCAATAACTGGAAAGGGACAAAGGCCCAGAGGTGACATAGCCCTGGCAACAGGGGCTCCTTCTGCCTGCTGAGTGACTAGAGCCTGTCACCACCTTCCCCTGCCCACATCTACATTCTTCCCAGATGAAAAGTTTGTTTTGCAAGATTGCCATGGGAAGTTAAGGCAAACACATGGCCAGACGACTGCAGAGGGCCTGGCAGGCCGCGGTCACTCCTTTCCGATTGAGAAGAGCCCTGGGGCCTTATCTCCGAGCTGTTGACAGCAGATGTTTGTCAAGAGACAAACAGGCAGGGACACATGAGCATGTGGAATGCAAGCCACTCCTGCACCAGCCTGGGAATAAACTCTAGCAACAAGGTGAGCTATCAGCTGAGAAGAATAAATCCCATAATGACAGGAATCATAAAAGTCATCCTGCTCCTGCAGATCCATTCAGCTGTGGGTCAGAATACAGGAAGATGAGCACGTCCAATTTGAACCTGTACATGCTTCTTTCTTATCCTTATGCCCCAAGCAGGTTTGGACAATAGCTACCACACAACATTTGCACTGTACTAAGCATGATCCACAATCTAGAGATGATGCAGGCGAGCCAGAGGGTTGCGCAGGTTACTTACAAACACTGCATCATTTGCTACAAGACCCAAGTACCTGCGGGATTCTGCACCTGCTGGGGCGGGGCTCCTGACACCCATCCCCATGGGTACCCAGGGCCGTGTGTTAATAGCAGTGCTTAAATCTGACAGAGTTCTAATGCTGAGTACATGTTAACAGTCAAAGAGGGTGAACCATAAACAAGAAAACCCATAGGTAAACGGTCGGAGGCAACAGGAAATTCAAAGGAATCAAAATGGTCCCCAAATAACAATGAGCTGTCCAGACTTCCCACTCCTCAGCAGGGTCAAGCCAAAACCTTATGTGTCACTAAGCCACGCACCAGACTGCCAGGAAGTTAGAAGATGTTACAGACAGAATCACGCTTCCTTCTTGCTCCCAGGTGTGATTGGATTTGGAGACATGGCCATCAGAGAGGTCATTCCCATTAAATGAGGTTGCAGGGGCAGAGCCTAGCCTGGTAGCTTACAAGAGGATGAGGAAACAGAGACCTTGAATGTGCGCAGAGGCCAGGCTGCTTGAGGATGCAAGAGTACAGCCAATTCCCAGCCAGCGAGAGACATTCAACCAGAAGCAAATCTGCTGGTGCCTTGACCCTCCCACCTCCAGACCTTGAATAAAGATAATGTCTTCATGGAAGCCCCCAGATCGGGACCTCTCTGGGGAGCTGCAGGGGTGCTCCTCTGTTCACAGGCCATGTAGAGCCTAGCACAGCTACGATAGAGAGGATGCTGGGAGTTTTGTTTGAATTGAGTTTACTTCTGCCCATGGCCCCACTGTCCTCCTTCCATATAGATCCTTGAGAATGTCTTCCATGGGCCAAGATATTCACTTCAGTGTTTTATAACAGTAGGGTGTTAGAATTTGCATGCGATCCTTGAGGAGCATGGCCTAGGAAATGGGGGTGGGTGTAAATGAGAGAATATGCACCCACTGAAGCATACTGGGGTCAACAGTGGTGTTGAGATAAAACTATCAAAACCAGGATACGATGCATGCAGCAACCCAGGCACAACTTGAATCACATGCCCATGTCCAAGTCCATGCCTTAGACACACCGCGGTGCCCACTGCAGCCACAGGGGAATGGGAGCAAGACTTAGGGTAAAGCAGGGAAATGGTACAAAATAAAGCAGAGGGTGGCCTTGCCAGGATTCATGATCCAGTCCTGAGGATCTGCTACTGACTAGCAAAAAGTTAACCACCTCAGCTTTCTGCACTTGAGACTCCAGAAAGGAGACAAGAAAAGAAGCTGAGTGACGGATCACAGTCACCCAGCTGGCCAGAGCCAGGTGCCCAGAGAGGATGCCCACAGCTTCCCCACCTACTCTGTCCCCTCAGCAGGTAGCCTGGAGCTGAGCTTACCTCTTGCCAGGGTAGATTTGCTCTCTGTGTGGGCCTTGGCCAGGCCAGGCCATGGCTGCCTGGGCAGCAGGACCGAGGGCCAGGCCAGCAAACCAAGAAGAATGAGGAGTCTCCAGAGGGGCCGCATCTCGGGATCTGGCACCTGCAGGTGTCCAAAAGGGTCACACAGGGCATGGACAGGTGGCTATGAAAGTGGCCGCCTGGGTGGATGGGCTCATGGTTGTCTGTAGGAAGATGACAGCAGAGGCACCCCCAGCATGCTGTGCGAAGGAGGCGTGATCAGCTCTGACAGCTGCCACCAGGGTTCGCTCACATGGCATGAGCAGCAGGGGGAGCCCTGGGTGGGGGAGACAGGGATCCAGGGGGACAGCTTTGTTGCTTGGAAACACTGACCAGGGCCCACTGTTGGGTCATCCAACAGCAGTCCTCCCAGACCCTGGTGTAGGATGGGTGCTGGAGACTGAGGGAATGAATGAATGAACAAATGAGTGAGGCTGGCTAACCCCTCGGCTCTCCGATTGACCTAGGACTTTCTTAAGGGCAAGACCAACCTCAAGCCCTACCATGATGTTTGCTTGCCAGAAATCAAGTGTTTAGGAAGGTGGGTTGAGTGACTGATCGAAGAGTTGAGTGAGGGTGGCTGAGCCCTGAATTCCTGTTGAATTAGGAGTTTCTGGAAGTCAGGGTGTGCATCTAATGACTCATCCTGTCTGATGTTCCCCATGCTTGCTGCGGGCCGGGTAAGATTCTTGTTTGTTAAATGACACAGGTGCATGGAGGAATGGCAGATGGGAGGATGGAGTTTCCTGATCCAGAAAAGACTTGGAGGGGAGCAGAGTGGTTTGAAGCCCAGGCTTATTCTGAAGTCCTGGGGTTGGGGGTCAGGGAAAATTCACTCCAAACACCAGCTTGAGAAGTGGCTCTGCCACCCACCCCATGGTCCCAGCCCCACCCTGGGCTCTCATGTCATCTCCCATAGCCCATCACACAGGAAACTCATGGAAGCTTTCAGAATCTGATCACATCCACTAATTCCCCAGGCACTGCCACGGTGGCTTGGGTGAATTGGGCTTGGGTGACCAAGGCATCCTGAGAGCCTCCACTTCCATGCCTGTCACCCACAGCCTCCTCTGTACACGGCAACCCGGCCCATCTATCCGAGATGCAGACCCAACTGTGTCACTCCTCCCACCAAGCGTTCCCTGTTGTGCACAGTCCCGCTGATCCTCCCCAAGACCTGTTGCCTTTTGCAACCCCATCTCCCATCACTCTGTCCCTTACCAGCCCCATTGCAGCCACACAAGCCTGTGGGCTGGGCCCTTGGGTGCCACCTTCGTGAGCTCTGAGACAAAGGCCACTGTCACTGTGCCTGTGCCACCTCCTGGGCTTGAGAGGGAGGATGTGCAGGGTCCCTCTTAGACAAGGGCTGATTCCTCCCTGAAGCCCCGGGGCTGACTGTGGGCCATGCCCCTGTTGTAGTAAGTGCTGCTGGCTGCCCAGATTGAGGTGTTGGCTTTCCATCATCTCAGGTCCTTTTTGAGTTCATGCCCCTCTTGGGGATGTTTGTAGAATCTCAGTTACTTCTAGATGTACTTTGCTGGTCTTCCTGGTCTTGTGTAACCACTTGGAATTTGTTATTATTATTTTTTTTTTTGTCAATAAAATCAGAGAAGAGTGGACACAGCCAGGAGCACAAAGCTGTTACCCTTGGTGCTCTGGTGGTCTGGACCCCATGGTGGGAGTGGCCATGGGCGCTGTAGAGCGTGGGGGCCGCCGAAGGTGACACATGGCTGATCCAGAGCGATGAGGCTGCTGCGCTCAGCCAGGTGGCACTGGATCTGCAGCTGGCTTGACAGGGACCTATGTACAACCAGGAACATGCAGTTTGGTGTCTTGCAGACCAAGGTTCAAATCCATATCAGCCTCTTCTCCAAAGACTGGTTTATTCATTTGAAAGACAGAGGTAGACAGAGGAGGGAGGGAGGGGGGAGAGAGAGAAAGAGAGAGAGACAGAGAGACAGAGAAAGAGAGAGAGAGAGAGAGAGAGAGAGAGAGAGAGAGAGAGGAGATCTCCCATTCAAAAGTTCCTTCTCCAGATGGCTGCAATGGCCGGCCTGGCCAGTGTAAAGCCAGGAGCCTGGAAGGTACTCCATCATGGTTTCCCACAGGGGTGGCAGGGGTCCAAGCACCTGGGCCATCATCTACTATCTTCCTGGTGGACTCCGCTCTGGGGTGAGCAAAAGTAGGACAATACAGACCCCTGAGCTGCAGTGAGACACAGAGAGGGACTCATCCCTGCTGATGCTCTAACCTGCCCATGACCTCAGCTGCAGTGTGGGCGGGGCAGGCGGAGTGGAGAGAGCTGAGACATAAAGCCCAGAGAGGGTGCTGGTACCCGGAAAGCAACCAGCACATGACAGCACCCACCCCCAGCAGGCAGGAACTCAGAGGTGTTCCCCCATGGGAGCTATGCATGACCATGGGGATTGCGGCCTTTGTCGCCACTTTAGAAGCAAAGATACTCAAGTCACCTGGCACTGCATGCCAGGCATGGTGGGCAAGTGCAGTCTTTACACAGTCCCAACTGACATGGAACTTGAGCTGACAGTCAAGGGCAAAGGGCATGGGCCTCCCAGGTCATCCCCTCCAGAGAGGACGATGGCCAGAGGAAGCCCACCCCTGAAGGATGGCGGCTGATGATCTGGTCCCCTACCCAGTGCTAAGCCTGCATTGTGTGTGATTGCTCCCCACCCACTGGCCACACAGGCCAAGGACAGCGCCCAAGACAGCCAGGGTGATGCTGGCTAGCTTCCCCATGAACTCTCTTACTTTCTCCTAGTGGCCCAAGCTGGGATTCTGGACCCCGCAAGACCCCCTCCCTCACCAGATCCCCCATCCCCTCCCAGACCTCCTTTCAAACTCCGGCGGCCCCTTGGTTCTTCCAAGCGGCTTTCCTCAGAGCTGGCTTGCTCACCTTGTGGGGGGCATTTTGGAAAGGAGACAAAGTTTGGTTTGTCTTTTCATGAAAAGGACGTGTGAGGGGATGAGGTTTCTCACAGTCCCGGGATTCCAGGGAGCCCCCCAGGCCTCTTGTTCTTCAGCACCATGTGGAAACTGGCCTTCTGGGTAACTGGTTCGCAAACAGTGTGGCTTGGGTGGGTGAAACTGGCTCATCCATCCAAGCAGCTGTTATTCACTGAGAGCCCACGGCGGGCCAGACCCCAGGCTGGGTTCCAGGCAGTGGCATCCGGCTCACCAGGTGTTGTGGTGCAGTGACGGGAACAGCCAGAGAGAAAGCTACAGCCTGTTCTGGAGGATAAGCCTGGTGTGCATGTGCAGTGCGAAGGTCTTGCAGAAACGCCGTGCTGGGGGCAGATAGCGGAGGAGGTGTGCCAGGCAGAAGGGACTGCAAGGACACAAGTCCCCGAGGCTAATAAGGGCAGCAGGTTGGACCCACGGGATGAGAGGTTTGTGCCTTGAGGCTGACACCTACAGCAGCAGGTAGGAACACGTGCGCCCCCCGGTGGCTGGTCAGGGAGCCTCCGATGGAGTGGGCAAAGCACCGAGCGGCGATTGCTGACTGGTTCTGTCCAGTAGGGGGCGGGTTCTGTGTGTCTAAATACCGCGAGACACTGATGGTGCAGGGGCTTTCATCCATTCAAATCACTCATGGTTTCTCTTGTATCTTCGTGTCTTTGCGTTCTTCAAACTCCTTGGCTCCTCCTTGCCTTTCTCAAAGGGACTGCATCTTTCCTGGTTTGTCTCTGGTTTTGGACCCCAGTCCTCTTATCAATTTTTGGTGAGCTTGTATCATCCTAATTTACTAGTTTAGTGATCCTAAATTTTTTTTTTTTTTAAAAAAACTTAGTTATTTTGCTTGGAAGAGTTACAAAGAGCGAGAGAGATAGAGAAGAGAGATCTTTCATCTGCTGGTTCACTCTTCAAATGGCTGTGATGACCAGACCTGAACTAGGGCTGGTCTGAACTTGGGAGCCAGGAACTTTCTCCAAGTTTCCCATGTGAGTGCAGGGGCCCAAGGCCTTGGGCCATGCTCCATTGCTCCCCCACGCCACAAACAGGGAGCTGGATAAGAAATGGAGCAGCTGGGACATGAACTGATGACCACGTAGGATGATGGCACCACAGGTGGAGAATTCGTTTGCTATGCCACCACACCAGCTTCTGCAATCATAAATTCTTACAGTTGCTAAACTAGCTGCAGAGTTATACTTCTGTACATGGATCCACCCCCTAGGAACTGGGGGAATTTTCCTTGGCAGGGATTGTGTGACCTGTGACTGAGAAGGGGGCATTTCTGGTTCTGTTGTGTGCCATGCATAGCAACTTCAAGGACGCAGCTTTTATTTCTTTATGAGTCAAATTTTGCTGAGCAATTTTTGGTGCCAAGCAACGACCAAAATGGGCAAAACACCTGCTTTTACTGAGCCTGCATTGAGGTGGGGGAGATGGACTGAACAATGGGCAAGGATGTTGCAGGGTTATAGAAAGTAAGATGGAATAGTGAGATGGTGCCTGGCGGGTGGGAAGAAGGGGGTCCCTGTAGAAATGTTGGGTGCAGATGTTTTCAGGTGTTAAGAAGAGCCATGTGGGACAGGGGTGGCAGAGAGGGAGGTGGGCTCAGCATCAATGTGGGAAGAGCAGGAATGCCAGCGTGACCGGTGACCGGGGTCAGAAGGAAGAGTGGTAGGTCCTGGGATCCGACATCTGCCTGGAACTGATTGATGCATCCTTGTAGTCCATGGTGGATGGCCTATCCCCTCTCCAGGGAGCTGTGATTAGTTAGCAGGTACCAGATACTCTGGTGGTATACCAGATGTTCTTGCTGTGAGAACTCCTCCCCAGAGTCTTGTTCCGTTTCTTACAGAGGGGCTGTCTTGGGGTCCCTCGCATGATCTGCATGTGTTTGCAGAAGGTAAATTCCCTTCCACATTCCCACCTCCTGCAATTTTCGCTTTACATGAAGCCTGGGAAGTTCTGGCATCCCAGGCTGCTCTAACAAAGGTCTCTGTTGAGTTCTGTTTTTACCAATCTCCACAGTGAACTCTTGAGACCATTTTTTGCCGTGGGACCCAACTGGAGATCCAAGGTCTTTGGTAAATGCATCCATTAGTGAAGGGGAGTGACTCAGGGTTGCTTGGTCTAACATTCTTAGAATAAGCTGCCGCATAAATTCAATGAGTGCTGATAAAGATTAGGGGGACACGGCCATTGTTGTGTAGTCTACAGGGTATTTGCTGCCCCGCCCACCCTGTGTTCTTGTCCTCTGGGACCATGTTTGAGATGTGAATCTTATGCTGTAT